CAAAACCTCTAGTTAGTTAGAGGTAACATTAGCTAACATTACCTCTAGTTAAGTAATGTTAACATTTTAACAATGAGTTCAAATATTAAAACTTAAAAATTTGACTTAAGTTTTAACTCATCTCAAGTTTTAACTTTTCATCTCCTCGGCTGGTTTGGTCACATGAGCTGTAGACTAAAAGATCATCTTTTAAGAATAGTTTGAATGGCAGGTATAACAGCAGGTAAATGGTGGTGAAACCAAAAACATCTCTGTCCAAACTGTTTGCTGAAAGAACCTGGAAGACGGCAGGAGTGTTTCAGCCGGGAGCGTCCATCCTCTTTATTCATCAGTTTGAACCTCTGAGCTCATGAAGGCGGTACCGTGTTCCTCTGGTAACTATAGAACATCTATTAGACGTCATTCGCTGACAGTGCAATAATTATTCTTAACCAAACTAAATGATACCATTTACCTGTAGCATGCTAAGTGTTTACTTGATGCACAAATTGTTGATATTATGATTCTATTAATTAGTTTTATTTTATTGTTTTAGAGTCAAAGAAAAATTTCCACTTTGGAAGACTAAATAGTTTAATCATATTTTTCCTATATATAGGACTTTACCAACAAAACAAAAATGTGGATTATTGCTTGTTTAACAACCCTGGCTATTCGTCTGTGAACCTAATTAATTTGTTCGTTATTGATTTTTGCTCAATTAAATTTCTTGTGTATACATTGTATATGGTATTTTTTATTATTGTTGATCATGTTTTTCATGTCTTATTTCTGTTGTTCCTCCTATAATTGATGGAGATATATAGATATTTGTAATGTATAAAGGTGTTGTTTATGTTGTAAAATTCGGCTCCCATTTAAAGCAGAACTTACAAATACACACAAGGGGGTTACGTCACAGGCATCAGGCAAAATATGTTACACCAGTTAAATGAAAGGTAAATAAATAGCCAAACACTCAAATATGAAATTATGTCGACCTTTTGCAACGATTTATTACAAAAAACACGAACTAAGAAAATAATAATAGTTATCCTGATAAATCAGTAACCAAAACTCTCTCAAAATAAGTTTAGGATAGGTTTAATCCACTTAGTTCATGTTAGTAAAGAAACTCAAATGGTTAAATGTCCAAATCTTCTTGATCCTTTTTAATACGAATATTGTCCAGAAACGAGTTCCATATCATGGGAGAATTTCTCCTTTTTAATCCAAAGTTTCAAGCGTCAAAAACCTCCCCCCAAAAAATGAGAAAAAGGAGTGGTACCACCAAAAATCCCCAAAAAGAAACGTAAAGTCCAGATCTCACCGGGAATGTCTTTCTTTTCCCCCCGGTGGCGTCCTCCTGCACCTGGCGGCGTTTCCTGTGCACAAGCTCCAATCCAGCTCCTAAAGCGCCCGATCCGCGGCGCTGGGGCGAACTTTCATCTTCCGTTTTACCTCCTTACTTTGATTCATTATTTGTTCTAAACGTTCAATTAATTCAAGTCTCCCGCTGCACGGATCTGACGGTGACGCACACGCCCCTTTTTATACACTAAGTCTCAGCCACACCTAAAAATCAGCATGACCTGCCCAAAAATCAGTTTTAAAAGTGGAAACTCTGAATAATTTTACAAAGAAATAACAGCAACTGTTATACCATTCAGATGATACATTTTCTCTTCAATGTATTTTATACAGGAAAAAAACAAACAAACATAGTAGTTATGTTACAATGTCACCTAATTAGCTCTACATCCTGAAGAAAAATACTGTATTTTATAAGATAATTTATCTTTCACGTTGCCAGTAATGGCGAAATTAATAGTAAATAATAAAGATTTTGTGGCATTCTCGTTTAGTGACGTAATTATATTAGTTTTGTTACCACCCCCACGCCACTAGAGGCAGTAGCAGGCCCGAAAAGATGCGAAAAAGGAGCAGATTCACAGAAAGCTGCGGAATTTGTTAAAAGCTGTGAGCTGTGCTGAAGTAAATAAAAAAGAGAAGTTGAAATACATGCTGAGAGTGAAACTCCTCCCTAAAGATGAAGCTATATCACAGATTTCAAAAGAAAATTAAAACGGAGAACGCGGATGATTTAGGAAATAGCGCCCCCTTCACTTCCGGAGTGCAATGGTCCCATTTCCAAATAAGGTAAGAGACCGACAGCGGTCCGTCCCGGCCCTTCCTGTTTGCTGCAGCGAGGTGAACTTGGATTTTAGCGGTTGGAATATTTCTCTTTAGTCTTTGGTTAAAGACCATGAGCCATTTCTGCTGCTAGCGCTAGGCTAACACGTTAGCTTTTTTGGTTGTGTTTACCCAGAATGCCCTGCGCTGTACTTCGAGTTTGATTCATACCTCACCAAACAAACCGGACTTCCTAGGTAAACTGACTAGACTTTGATTAAAGTGGACTGAACAGGGATGGTGTGAATGCTGCTTAAGCCTCCTCTTCTAAGGTCCTGCAGCAGCTAGCTGTGCTGCGGTGCAGATTCAAACTGTATACTAGCAGAAGGAAGAGGAGACCCGATTTCTGTTATTTCAGTTCTCCTCTTTGCCTCTCTGCATCTGGAAACATTGACATTTTGTTTTACCTTCCAATAGATCAAACCAAACTGTCATTTTCCTCAGTGACCACCAGGGGGAGTTGCAGCGTCACAGCATCCTGACGGAATAGAAAAGTATTTTTTCTTTTCTTATTTTTAAAGGAAAAGTGAATAAATATGAAAATATAACTGAAATATTTTTCAGTTATATTTGACATAAATAACGTAACATTTTCGGCCAGCTGCATCGATGAAGCCTTTAAAATCTTAAATCGGACCTTTTATCGGCTCTCAGCCGGCTAGCCTTCCTCCAGACGCAGCGGCTCACAGCGGATGTTGTGGCGCTGCAGCCTCATGCTGCTCGTAGTCAGAGTGATGTAGGTCAAAAGGCAGCAGACACCAACTCCACTGACACCAATCTGAAAACCACAGGCTGCTTTTGCGCATGGTCAGTGTCAGCCACCATCCTCATCCTCTCTCTCCGCCTTCCTCACTCTGTCCAGCCGCCTCCATCTCCGGATGAAGATGATGAAGATGTTCCCGGCGGCCGGAGCCAGGCTCGGCTCCAGCTCCAGGTAAGCCTCCAGCCTCCCGCTCCGGGCTCAAGCCGTTTCCTGACGCGCAGCTCGGCCAGCGGGCAGCCCGCCACCCCTCGAGGATTCCCGCACGGATTCCCGCACCAACCCGCGGAAATGTAGCTTCTCTTACATTTTCCTCCAACCGTCCGCTGACTGTCGGTCCTCCATCAGCCCGGGACGAGGCGCCTGCTGCGGCGAGGAACAGCGCGTCGGTCGGTGTGTCCATCAGATCTCACACACACACACACACACACACACACACACACACACACACACAGATTTGGTCCAGATTTTTGGCAGCTTGCATCACAAGGTCACTTTGCTCGTGGGCTCGCAGGCTGCCGCCGCTGAATGTGTGTCAGTGGGCCACCGGAAAAACAGACTCGACATTAAAGGTTCGTTTTATCCGTGAAATCCCGCATCAGCCGCTGTTAAAGGGGAGGTGGTGTCAGGGGACATATTACCGCTCACCTCTCCTTTAATGATCACGCTGCTTCTGACCGAGATCCGAACCGAACCCCGGCCGTTACAGGCGCAGAAAACCCAGAAAACAGCGAAAGGAACATTTCCTGCTGCTGGCCCTTTAAGGGACCTGAAGTTGAACCACCTTCAACTGTGATTTTCCAACATTTTCCAACATTTCTGCTTTGGATGGAGACAACATATAAACACCAGTTTCTAAGTTGCCACAGATTGTGAAATGTGTTTTATGTCTGGACTTTGACTAGGCCAATCTAACATTGCGTTGGTGTTGATGTGTTCAGTTTGTTGACCGAAATGGAAAATTCCGACTTCCCAGTTGAAAAAATAAACTGAACCGATTTCCCCAGACGTGGTGATTCAACATGGCTGCCTCACATCACCAGTGGACCGGTGGAGGAAACATGTTTTACAGTGCGTGGAAAACACTGCAAACATTTGCTCACTTGGGCCAAACTTGACAACTCCAAAGGACTGTTGGGCCAAAACGTGTCAATTTTAAAAGTTAAAATTACTGAAAATATAATTTTTTTTCAACCTTCTCAACAATAAACTAAATCTGAACTATTTTAATTAAACTATATTTTTTAGTAGAAATGGGATCATAGATTTAAAACTTCAAATGGTTTTTGCATGTTTTCCTTGTTAAATGAAAAGCATCCAGTTTGATTAAAATTATAAAACTGAAAAAATATTTCATAAGTTTCACTTCCTGTGTTCAGCCCAGTTTTACTCCAGCAGCTGAAAGCAGGTCTGGCTGCAGAGGGTTTTACAGTGTAAACCAGTGAGTAGATGTGGCCCTGGTTACCATGGCAACAGGAAAGCAGAAAGCTTGGGAAAGATGATCACTTTGTATTGCATCAATCATTTTTGCTTGTAGATTTCGATTTAACAGTCGTAGTTTTGTCCTGATTCATTTTTGAATTGTGGTGAGGGACCAAAAAAAATCAGTCCAGGGGCCACAAATGGTCCCCGAGACTCACTTTGAACACCGCTGATCTAATGTTACAAGCGTCTGCAACTCTAAACTGAACGACCTCTCCCGCAGTCAGAGCCGGAGCTGAGTCAGCAGAGCGGCCTGCTGCCCATCGGGGCGCAGGAGCAGCAGGAGGCGGCGCTGGATGCAGCTGAAACCAAACTGGATTCGTTTGGTTTGGTTCCAAAAGCGCCGCTGTGGTCAATGTGGTAGTTTGACTCACTCGAGACCATCAACCACTTTTTGATGGCCTCAGTCTTGATCTCCGACATTGAGTGCTGGGATTTTATTTCAAGACCACAACTGTGGAAATGTCACTAAATTGCCAGCATATTGTCCAGTTTATTTGTTAACATCTTTGTTTTCACTGGATGCTAAAATACCGATTCTGTCATGTGTGGTGGTGAGGAGAGACGCAGAGGCCCAGGCTGTGATTTAATGAAGAAGCTCAACAGTCCAGAACAGGCGGCACGGCAGAGAGTTAGCACACAGCTAACTAGGGACTGAAGAAGAGAACTAAACCAACACAGGACTTCACAGTTCAACTGTGATGGCAGCCAGTTTGACAAGGACCCGACAAGAGACAGAGACAACAGGTGGGACTAAATACACGTGGCTAATCAGGTAACTGGACACACCTGGGAACAATCAACGCGGAGACAACAGAGACTCACAGGACAGAAACTGAACACAGAAAACCCTTAAAAATAAATACACAGAAACACGGATCATGACCGATTCAAATCCCAGCCATAAAGCGACTGACTAATGACGTGTTTCTGTTTCCGCTGGCAGCCGTCGCTCGCGCTCTGAGACATGCGCAGTTTGTCTCGGAGTGGGAGAAGACGTCCGACTAATCGACGGTAATAAAATTTCCTTCATAAATCATAAGAAAGCAAGACGATGTGTGAATTCAGCAGCGCTAATCTTACAGAAACCGTCCAACTTTTACGTGACTTTGAGGAAGCTCAAACAAAGGTAAAGTATGCGGAAGAGAAGTTAGCGAAGCTAACTGTGCAGTGACAAAATGTTGCGTTTGCGATGAAATAAAACTGTTACTTACTGCGCTTTTTGTGCGGAGGAGTTGACTGATGTGACGCATGTATGGGACAACGCTGTGACCAAAGTCTGCAATATAGTGACGTGACATTCACGAACGAGCCGATTCTTCTGAACGGCTCTTTACTATGAACGATAGAACTGGAGTCTCGCTGAGGACCGTTCTTTGTTTTTGTAATGCATCGTGCACACTGCAGTAGTTATTATTCTATTTTATTAAATACATATGTTTATTTAATCATCAAATAAATAAAATACAAGAACGTAAGATAATGCACAGCGCATGCTCTTTGATTATTTTCTGTTATCTGCTACCTGGCTTCATGCAACAGTCACGGTTCTCCTTTTGCCTGATTCTTTCTTGCTTGTTGCTCCTTGGACAGTATTCATAGTTTACCGTTCAGAGAGCAGTGGTTTCTGACATGGGTGATGTGAGCAACCACCCAGGGCGTTATCTTGGTAGGGGCGACATGGGACCTGCTGATTGTGACTTAGAGACGGAAGCAAAGCAGAACAAAGAAGAGTTTGAATTGATAATTATAATTTATTTCAGCTCTAAATATTTAATATTTAAGTGTTTTCAGGAGAATGTGGATCTTCCAGATCAATTTGAGAAGCAGTTTTTATCATATTTCACTTATTGTAAATTCATTTATTGTGTTGTATAGAGCAGGGTGCTGGTCTTGGTCTCGGGTTAGGTGGTCTTGACTACAACACTGCCTCTATGTGCAGCTATCCAGAGATCATCAGCTTCAGCCGGTGTTTGGGGGAAAAAAAGTCAGACCCAAGTTTGTGAGACTTTTCAGACTTTTCTCCGCTGCTCAGGAAGAAGTCGACCGGGATAATGTTCTGCTTCTTGTTCTTCTAATTCTGCATAATAGACTTAGTAAAAGCTGTTTTTTATCAACAGTTGCGGTGAATTTAGCTGCTAAAGCCTCTAAGTCGCATGTGTCAAACTCAAGGCCCGCGGGCCACATGTGGCCCGC